TGAATATGCACCATTCATCGTGGGTGGCTTGTAGGGTGAGAGATATGAATCATCCATTTCATAAATAGGCCAACAACATCATATAGAAGGTGCTAGAACCATTATCCCCTACTTCCTAAACTATTTTCCTATTAATTAATTCGAATAAGAAAATAATATATGAAAATATTATGTTTTCTTATTACATGCTTAAGCCTTCTCATATACCAAAATTTACCAAAATTTGAGTCAAAATTTTCTCAAGGCATCAATTTTCCAAAACACAAATAACTTAACCCTCATGCTAAGAGATTGACCTCTTCAAAATTGGAAAGCTCTCAAGGAGGGACGTGCCACCCTAGATGGCACATATTGAGCCCTACCCAAATTGTCATGTTGGCCCATTTATATTATCGGATCTCCCATGCAATATAAAAAAATTAAAGATAAATATTATGATTTTTAGAAATTTATAAAATCATATTTGAATAATTAAATCAATGTAAAATCAATATCTTTGTCTTTATAAATCCAATTTTGATAAATAAAATATCCAGAGATCTATAAAATTTTAAATAACAATTCTAAAAATCATATATCTTTAAAAAAAACATAATTAAATACTTTGGTAGGAAAATGATCCATATGGTCTATGAATAAATATACACTATGGCATCTCACCTTCTACTGTGGACCACGGTCCACGCTTACTTTCTCAAACCGATCCAGTGTTGCCCATGACCCACACTCCATGCAGGGGATCATTAGTGGGTCACCAAAGTCTAGCCAATGGGTAAGGGGTCACAGTCTTAGTCTACAGATTTCAGGTTTTCCACTGGAGACGAAACCAAGTTAACCCTGGCCTAATGCAATCCATTGCTCGATGGTGCACAGGGGTTATTTCTCGCATAAGCACAAGCTTTATGCTAAAAGGTGGTTTGTCTTCCTGAAAATAGCAATAAATGTGCATGTCTAGTGATTGTACATGGATGAAGCTTTGGCCTCGTCTCTAAAGACCTCCATCACACACAAGGTCTACATAGTCCATGGGCTCACTCTTCCGGGCATACTCCGATCCCATCAAGAGATGATTCATCAAAACCCTTATTGGTTTGTTTTTTATGCCCAGATAACATGGGTTTTTCCCAACCAGACTGACCTAGCTCGTAAAATTCAGTCCGGTATCAGTCAACATAGTTTGCTTATAATAGTCCACACATGACCACACTTCCACTAAGTTCATGTTCCATTTTATCAATAAGTTCATCTACAAGCACTCATAAAGCCTTTAATGGTGCCACACACCCAACAATCTGAAATGACTGTTTGAAAACCCTTTAAGAAATAATTACTTATTTATATATTCTGTTTAGAAACAAAATTAACAAAAAATAAACATAAATAAAAAATTTGCCCCAAATAAATTTGCACGGATGGTTTACTCTATGTTAACACAAAATATCGTAAGGTCGATATTAATTTGATGGCATGTGTGCCTGGTGCATTGGTAAATATTGTGCATGCTCTTGGCAATGATCAACAAGATGGGATGCTACTATGGCTTGAAGAATTTGCTAGGCACATGCAAAGTGGTGTTATTGGGGTTCGTAAGGAGAACAATGCTAGAAGTATATGTCTATATCCAGAGACACCACCATTGTGGTCCACTACAGTGACCCGATGACTTCAAGTTCGGGCGTCTGTTGTGTTTGTCTCTGAGTTGAGCGATCTTCACCAGCCAAGGGACAAGTATTTATTTTCCAATTCTATTTGAATGAGCTTGCTCCCCCTCAGACCTTTCAACACAGAATGTTCAGCCTATGCGTCGTGGAGTTGGCTTGGCCACTAAAAAACAAAAAAAATTGAGGATGTAGAGAAGGGAAAAAAAAAAGGTGGTATTTTTTTAATATGTGGGCTATTGCCTAGAAGCCCAATTTCATTGGAATTTTTTTTATATGAATGTACTCAAAAGAAAAAAAAATTGTCTTTTGCAAGTTGGGTGTTTCTTCGCATCCACACCTAACTTGAGGGAGAGAGTATAGGAGATATGGCGAATAGAAGATATGGAGATGAGATGAGTAAAGATGAAGTCAACATCTCTAATGTAACCGCTATGTGGATAAGAAAATCAGTCCAACTACTATACAAAGAGAAGTTATGGTTGATGATCAAGAGTTCCGTCTCCAGATGAGGAGATGAAGATGATCGAATTTTTCGATCTTGGTTGATAATCAAGAGTTCCGTCTCCAGAAGAGGAGATGAAGATGATCGAATTCCTCGATCATAGCTGATGATCAAGTTTTTTGTTACTTGATCCCATTTGATAATAGAGTTTACTGTTACTCCATTCTGTGTGATGATCGAGTTTACTCGATCCTGTTTGTTCCAGATGTCTATGTTTCAATGATCGAATTTTCCATTACTCAATCATATTGGAAGATGGAGTTTTCTATAGCTTCATCCTGTTTGATGATCCTTTACTTTTAGAGAGAGAATGCCTCTAGAAAGAAAAGAAACCTCGGAGATAGAATATCTTCAGAGAAGAAGACCGTAAAAAGAGAAAGTCTCGAGAAGAAAGTAGAGAGCCCAAGAAAGGTTCTTTCTTGTAAGACCCTAAAGAGAAAAAGTCTCTAGAAGAAAGTAGAGAGCCCAAGAAATGTTGTTTCTTGGAAAACCATGGTAACTTATGAAATTTATAATAGATTTGATCACTACTCTCTTTTTTTTTGCAACTTAGTATTGTTTAAACTCTAGTTGCTTTATGTCAAAGCATCTTAAGTTTGAGGAGGAGTGTCTAAGTTTGAAGGGGAGTATTAAGATATGGATATCTCAGATATCTCGGGTTCATATTAATATACATCATTATGGATATATTAGTATATATCTCTTAAGATTAAGTATCTAAAAGATAAATGTCAAGTTAGTTTGGTGAAAAGGCCTCCTACTATTTGCCTATTTCCAAGAATCATACCATATTTATCATGTAATTGTATGATCGTCCTCTATATGTATAGGTACTTATTGATGTAAACAATCATCCAAAATAATGAAGATGTAGTCAGTTGGGCTTTAATTCCGTAGACACAAGGCTTAGACCTGAACCACGTAAAATTTGTGTTCTCTCTTCTTCTCTCCATTCTCTATTCTCCATTCTATACTCCCACAAATTCCAATAAACCTAGTCCAAGTATTATGAAATTGCATTTGCCTAGTATGGTCCACAAAATGTTATGATTCATTTATTCAAATGTTTATACAGTTTCTCTTAAGGCTTTTAAAAACCACATAAACCCAACAGATTAACCATAAGGACCGGGACCAAGAAAATAGAAAAATATTAAGTGAATCCAAAATTTTTTATTAAAAAATATTGGTTCATTTAGAGTTAAAAAAAATGTTTGTTTGATTTTTTTGCAGGGTCCCCCAAGTCTATACACAAATGCTGAATTTCTTAAGAAGTATATGTCATTGTCAGGCAGTCGTGGCCTTCAATTTTGATCATTCAATCATAATCCTTGACAAACAAAATAATAAAAAACAAAGAATGATATTCTATAGGTTGTGGGCAGAGTTCATCATATAAAAGTCAAAGTTTATTACTACACGATTACTCATTTTCAAAGTAGTAAATTTTTATTTTTTAAAACTATTTAAAACTTTTAACGAATATGGCTTCTTCTTAATTTTTGTTTTAACATTTTAATATAAAATCTTATTGTTCAAATAAATTTTACTAATTCAAAATAAGGAGTAAGAAAGACATTGAGATTCAGACTGCATATTCTCCCTCTCTTGTGGGAATTTCTCCTTACATTGCCGTTATTTCTTACTTATATAGGAATAAGAATAATATTAAGAATTTTATCAAATAAAAGTGTATCAATTTAAAATCAGGCATATAAAATTAATCCATCCTTGAACAATAGAGTTTATAATCAAAGTAAAAAGGAAAATAGCCCATCCAGATTGGAACCGGCCGATCCAGATTAAGAATCGAAGGGGGCAAACCGATTCCCTTGAAATATCATGAAACAAGCCAGTTCCACCCGGGTTCTATTAGAGAACGAGTTAGAACCGGCACCATTTGTTTTAATTTTTTTCCAATTATTTTTAAATATTTTAATGATTGGTTTGGGAAATCAGATTGCTAATCTGGTTCAACGATTCACTGAACTGGATCGGAAATCTGGATGTGCGGTCAGGGTCACCGAACCAGATTTTAAACCTTGGTTCTAATAGTTTGGTTTTCTTTTATTTTTAAATTATTTAAATTTTTTTCATTTTCTAAACGAGAAGGTTTATACAAGGTGTCGACTTCATACTATGGAAAGGAAACACACATCAAAACCCATCCAGAAATATTGTTTTAAAGTTGAAAACCTTAAAACTGATCTCAACCTTAAGATGTATGAATATAAAAAGAAAGAAGATCGTAATATTAAAAAATGGCACATCTTGTAGCCCATTTTTTGGAAAAGTTGTTCAAAAATTTTTATGTGCCCTTAAAAACTTGGATTTGAATGCAAATCATTGAGCCCAATTAAAATGAACTCCAACCAGGGCTAGCAACAAGCCGGACCTAGGCCAAGCCAGTCTTGGCCCTAGTCTCCACAGGGCCGGCCCAAGCTCTGCCTGGCCCTGACTCGGCCAAAGAGGCTCTAGTCAAAGCCTGACTCTAGTCATTAGGGCTAGGCCAGGCCAATCAAATAAATTTTTTTTTAAAAAAAAAACAACAAAAAAATGAAAAGAAAAAAGGGAAATTGGAATGATGAAGCATTTGGGCTCCAAATTTATTATTATTATTATTATTCTATGGATTTTTAATATGATTGGATTACCCTAGAACCATACAATCCAAAAAGTCAGGTTCATATGTAGTATGATTTGGATAATGTCTTGTACAAAAAGCTATCCATTATTGATTAATGTGCACGTGCGTTTCAAAGGGCAAGAACCCGGTATTTTATTGAGCAGCATTTTCTTTGGGCTATCTCCGTAATATCCCAAAGATACAAAGTCATTTAAGTAAACACCACTTTAATAGAAAAAAGTGGGACCCACATGTCTAGACTGGAAGTTGGTCCCACTTGTGATCGATGCTAGCGAACCTGCACGAGGACCACGCGATGGTCGGACGCGTAATCTGGCAGGAGTGACAGCTGGCACGCCACATCAGCACTGAAGAAATCAACTGGAGGCCATTCGTTGAGCACTGAAGAAGTCTACTTATAAAAACTGGAGGTACCCTTTTGTAGCATTCGACTCTGGCGTTGCGAGTTGCGAGCAACGGACGGTGCGAGAGATGTCTAAGCGTACGACCCCACCCAGCCACCTAGGCGACCACCAAGCGCACCGCCAGGAACAAGAGGACGCCATCATGGTCCGGGCCTTCCAGCAAGTAATCAGTGGGGCGAGCTGCAGCCCAGATGAGCTGGAGCCCGCACCCTCTGAGACCTGCGGTGGGAGTTCCTCCTTACCAGTAGAACCCACAGCGGACCCAAGTCCACAAGGCAACTGATCCTCTTCAACCTAATTCCTTAACATCTACCTCCCTCTCAAACTTTGATTGGTTCTCTCTTTCTCGACCTTGACCGAACTACGTGTTTTTGCAGCTTCGAGCTCAAGCAAGAGGAGGAAGTACAGGGGAGTGAGACAGAGGCCATGGGGGAAATGGGCAGCCGAGATTCGAGACCCCCACAGAGGCATAAGGGTATGGCTGGGGACTTTCGAGACAGCGGAGGAGGCGGCCAGGGCTTACGATGCAAAGGCTGTGGAGTACAGAGGACCTCGTGCTAACCTCAATTTCCCCGATGACGCTCTACTGCTTTACCAGGCAGCGTCACCTATCCCTCGAGCTCCAGAGAAATCCAATTATCAATTCGAAAGCCAGCCTTACCAACCGCATCAACAAAGTACTGAATTACAGGAAGTAGGAAGCACATCTGGATCCATTTCTTCACAGGTCGATGCGCGAGAGCAAGTAAATGTGCAGTATCGGCAAACTGTGCAGACCAGCGATTACCCCGTATGGGACATGGTGCCCAATTCGAGTAGTTGTGAGCATTACTATAGTACCTATGAATCCTTCTCTACAGAGTGTGAAGTTTATGACTCCCTTTCAGAACCATTGCCACAACAGAACCAAACTGAAGGATTACCGGTATCGTTTGCTACAATTCCTCTGGATCAAGACTGGTCTTTTACTAATCCTTTGGATGAGTTTCCTTTTGTTGCAACCACTAGGCCACCAGATCACATTCCTTGATTGTGAAAACATTGATCCTTTTAGCTCAAGTAAGCCAAGTATGAGAAGCCGAAGCAGCAATCGGCTTGTGTTTTAGAAGTAGAGACAGAAAATTAGAGCAAGATCCCTAAGAAGGGTTATTTTGTAGTTTAGAACTAGAGAGAGAAAATTAGAGCAAGAACCTAGTGGTAGAGAGAGAGTTAGAGCAAGAAGCAGAGAAGAAATTCGTTTTTCGTTTTGAAGTAGAGAGAAAAATTTTGTTCATTTGTTGGAGGAAATCTGAGTTTTAACATGCTTCTTCTGAAACTTTCTGAATTTGATTGAATAGCGTGTGAAATAAAAAAAAAAATGTTTATTTTTGCTTTGTGTTTTTGACGTTTGATTCATGGTGGAAAAATGGCTGTAATGTTAGTGGGTTTTTTGAGCGAGATTTTGGCGGGAGGGGCGTGGTTTCCTTTGACACGTCAGATAGATATAGTGGGCCATGTCCGAGCCACGTGTCGGTTTTCTTTCCTTTCTCAACCGGGAAACGTAGGCGCAATGGAGTAAGGGAGGACAAAATTGGGATTGTAGCATTTCTCAGGGGTGGAGGTTTTGTTCACACGCTTTACTCATCGCAATCTTCAGCGCGTACGACTTGACACAGTAACTCCGCTACTGCACACTGTCTTTTCAAGTGCGCGAGTTCCACGTGGCATTGGGAGATTTGGTGATGTCATGCTTTCTAGTCAAGTGAAGATATAGTCCCACGTGGTTTTATATGTTGATGCATTATTTCTGGCTTTCAATATACTTCCTTATACGTAGAGATGATCAATTAGAGATTTTTTAACATTAAAATTTTTTTAATTTCAATAGGTTTTTGAAGTGAATGTGTATTTTTAAATTTTAAAGTAAACCTTATATAAAATTTTTTATATTTGAAAACCTGCTTATGGGGTCACATGTATATTTTTTTATAAATATTTTAAAATTAAAATTTGAATATTGAAAAGCATTTTAAATTAAATAAAAAGGTAAAGTATTAAATAAATACTATTTTCCGTTATTTTCCTAAAAAAAAAAAGCTTTGAATTGACTAGAAGAACTTTCTATGTAACATTAGAAAAAAAAAAAAAACGCTAAGGGCAAAGTGAAAAAGACTATTATCAACGTGTTAAACGAGATTTAAATGCTACGCCTCCTACGATTTTTTCTTTTTTCCACTATAGACGATTATTTTATTGATTTGGACCGCACATGATTTCTAAAGAGCTAATAACCTTGTGCTCCTTCCACTACCAATTTTTTAATACCCATCTCATTCTTTTTCTTTCCCAATCATTCGCTCTCCATGCAAGTCTATTTCATTTCCTTAGAAATATTGTTTTAAGGGAAAATTGTTTTATACGGGCTGGACTACATTTCTACAATATGTGGATCCTATCGGTTAAATTGGCCACGGGCTATATCGGCCGAATTGGCATCCGGAATAGGTCAAATTAGATTTAAGGGTATGGATGCTAGAGAAAAAAGCAAAATGACTAAATTCAATTTTTCAAAAAACATGAAAATCTTGAGCACTTGATGTAACAATCTTAAAATTTAAATAAAAAAAAAAAAAAAAAAAAAAAAAAAAAAGAAGAAAATATGCTTTTAAATAGGTGATGGTCTGTTTGAGTATGATGGTCCTTGGGGACCATCACTATTTTCAAAAGTTTTTACTTTGGTTTAAACTTTTGCTTTTGCCTGCTGCTGCTTGCCACGTCTTTTAGTGGACGTGGTTTTCGTATGTTAAAAGCAGACTCTTAACGCGACACCTCAGGTATGAGGTAGAGCGTAATAAAATAATATAATAATACGTTATAAGAATTTAAATAGGGGAGATGAGTACTCCCACCCTAAAAATTTTTGAGATCTCTCTCTCCCTCTGGTCGAAATACAGTGAACTCCTCTCTCGAACCGAATTTTTATCGGAAGCTCCCTCTCAAATATTTGTGAGTAAGTGACATCGTCTTCCTGAAAAATAGTATGTTTTTAATAAATAGTGATATTTCCGTCCAGGATCTTTATTTTATAAGTTTTGTGTGTAATGGACCCCATTGTCTCGAAAAATAATCCATTATTTTTAAAAATGAAATGAAATAATTATTTCTGCTTATTATCATGAATTTTAGGCGCGATAAATTTTATGCGCACGTGACCTCATTATCTTGAAAAATAATCTTTCTAATAAAAATTGTGATATTTTATCTATGTTAGAAATTTTGAATGCTGTAAATTATGAAAAATAAATTTATTTATTTTTCTTGTTTATTGTTAGAAATAAATGTGATATTTCTGCTTTTAGTAAAAATTGTGATATGTCTTTCTATTGTTTTGAATTTTTAGACATTGTAAAATTCATGTGCAAATGACTGCCTTATTATTTAAAAAAAATGATATTTTTGCAATTGATTATAGTATTGTTGTGAAATGCTTATTTGTGGATTGATATCCCATAAATTGTGATAATTCCGTATTCTTGAATTTTTATAAGAATTTTTCTATACATATTAAAATGGCAATTATGCTAGAATGCCTTTACAAACTGTTACCTTTCTAAATTTGAGCCCAAAATATTTGATTGGTTATTTTTGAAATGTTATAGAGAGTGATTGTTATTAATGGTTTAAGTGAAATTCATATTAATGATTTCAGTAATATGTTGAGTACATGATATTGCTGCTTTCGAATGTTTAAAGAGATTTAGAAATAATTTAAGTATGTAAGTAGACTCATCCGGTTCGTCGGTGAGGTATAAGTGGACCTATCTGGGACACCGGTAGGGATTAAGTGGATTTATCCGATACGCCGGTGAGGTATAAGTGGACCTGCAGGGATTAAGTGAACCTATCTGGGACACCGATAGGGATTAAGTGGACCCATCGGGACGCTGATGGGGTATATAGGTGACCTACTTGGGACGCCAGTATGGTATTTTGTGAAATCTTTTGAATTATGTACTGCCGTTAAAAAGTGTTATAAGCATTTCAGTTACTCGGATTATACTTAATTAT